TGCATCTGAAGGGCCGTGCCCAAATTCCTCGGGCTCTGTCCGACCACGCCATCAATAGCATGCAGCGACTGCTTCGCAACGAGAACAGTGCTCAGTGGGTTTCGTGCCACTCCACGCGCATCGCGAGGGCCACGCCTCGATGCCTCGGCCCTTGGCCGACCATGTCACGCATGACATACAGCGAATGCTTTGATTCTCGAGCAGCACTCAGTGGTTTCCGTGCCACTTCACGTGCATCACATGGGCCTCATCCTCGACCAAAAAAAACATAATATATTTTTGGCGATTTTAATGATTAATATTTTTAACTATTAAAATAATAATATCATGACTAAATCCTAATTTTAAAATTCGATTATCATTTTCTATAGATGCTTGAAACCTATAGTCTGAAATAATCCTGGAATTTTTATACTTCTTGATTTATCGATATATTTTAATAAATATTGTTCAAGTTATCAATAATATTAAAAATATTATACTTATAATTTTTAATATCATAACATCTATTTAATTTATAAATCAGAATCAAAATAAGTTTTATTCTTTCAAATTTCTTCTAGAATATTTAAATGAATATTTTTAATGCCTCGGCCCTCGGCCGACCATGTCACGCATGACATGCAGCGATTGCTCCGAAACTTAAGCATCGCTCAGTGGGTTTCGTGCCACTCCGCGATCAGCCCGCGAGCCACGCTCGGGACTTCTGTCCAATGCACCGTTGGTGTCTACCAACTCGGACATTCCAATGTCTTACACGTTGACCGTCTCGGTCTAGCGCTCTCGCAATAGCGCTTTTGTCTCCTAGCAGAGGTAGGTTCATGACTCGCAAAAGCTCCACCAGGAGACGTGCGCGTAGGCCCAAGGTCTTTGACTTCCAATCAATCCATGGCTCCTGATGTTCCAAACATGCCATTAGGTGATACCTTGCATCCAGGTCTAATACTAGACAGAGTTCCACGCTATCAAAGTCAAGGAATTTGACTCCGAGATCCACAGGGACCTTCGGGACCGTGACGCGTGTCCCCGTCACTAGGCGAAAAGTGACGATGTCACCTAACCGCGCTTTCAGCGCTTCAGCATACAGCTGACTTCTTTCCATCGTGGAGCGTCGGGCATAATTGCCCGACCCTGAATCGATGAGGATCTTCTTTATCTTCTTGAAGCCCTTTACGGTCGCCTCCACGACCAGCAAGCCCGGCTTGCACACACGTT